GGGGTTCTCACTCTCCTCGCAAATTTTCGGAAAGGTTCAAATTAAGATAAAAAGAGAAAACAGAAGCAAATTCCCCCCCCCCTTTTTTTTTTTTTTTTTTGGCTCTGAGGCAAACAGAATTCTTTTTTTCCCTAGATAATTCTCATTCTTAGTTCATTGGAGACTATTAAAGAGCTGCACTTTACTAAGGAGGGATAATTTTCCACTGAAACTGTTCCTGAGACAGTATGAAGTCTAGCAAACACACCTGCCTTCTACAGCTATTCCGATAAGTTTCATCCCAAAAGAGCCCCATACGGAGAACACGTCAACAGCTTGACAGCATTGCTAAATAAAAGATCAAGGGCTCTGTGCTTCGATTCGCTCTGTGCTCTCTTCCTCCCTTCCACAGTGCAGCTAATGAAGGAGAACATCCCCAGCAAGCACTTCCATGAGCAGCTAAACTAACACAGCCTGATTTCCTCTGGATTTGTCTCTCCACTTGCAAGAACGGATTTACTGAGGCACGGAGGAGGTCCCAAAAGACAAGCTGCTCCCCCAGTAAACTTCTGTCTTCCCCTCCTCCGCTGCTGGGGAATCCCCCAGATGCCACACCACGCTTGGGTGATGCCTGCAGCGTAGAGGGGAGGACTGATAGGGAAAGACGTCCTCATGGCCAGCATGCACCATGGTTGGCAGCACAGCGCCAGGTGCAGCTCTCACCACCGAGGTGGTGCCGAGGGCAGTTTCCTTCGGATCACCTTTTACAGAAGTCAGACTGCAGCTTGGGGGCAAGGCTCTTTTCGGCACTACCACCATCCTCATCCTCCTCTAGGTCTGGGCTTCAGGGTATGCACTGACTCCTGTCGCTTGAGACACACTTACGTGCCAAATTTGGGTGAGGCTGGCCCATGACTTACAAATAAGGAGAGACAAAGAAGGAAAGAATAGGTAGCTAGTGTAGTCACATCAGCTGTGTTTCCTTTGCAAACTAGGCTAGGGAAGTTTTCTGAGGACAGGGGGAGGAGAAGCTCCCCGTGATTTAAAAACAGCTCTGTGCCATTTGTGATTTCGAAGCCATTCGGAGCTGTTCTTCCGTTATACAAAACACGCTCTCTGAATTAGAGGACTCAGATGGATGCACGAGGTAGGTCCCTGGGGAAGGTGGGGCTCACGCTCCAGAGGAGAGAAGCTCTCCTGCTTGGGGAGCGCGGTGGCACAGGCTGCACCCGTGGGAGCTGCCTGCGGTACCAAGCGCGGATGAACTCCGGCAGAGAGCCCTGACCTGGCGCCAGGTAGCTGCTGCTGCTGCCTGCTTCAAGTCCATGAGGGCTCAGCACACGTTAAGCACTTCGATGACAACCTATTGCTTTACTGTCTCTAATTGTTTTCAGCACCTCAAATCAGCCTGGCCACTTTCTTTTTTTAAGCGCTGAACCTCACTAATAAGGTTAGAAAGCCCCTGTTAAGGCTACAAGTCATGACTGAAAGCTCAGAAAGTTGAAGTCAGTGTTCTTGCTAAGCTTAACAGCAGCATTATTAATCAACAACATTAATATTTGTTCAATATCCAGCAGATTGTTGACCAGAAATTGTTTTGCTTCTCTAAACTGGGTTGCCTTATGTTGCATCCTAATTCAGCGAAAGAGTTAAGTCTCTTGAAAACATCTTTCCATTAGACCACAAACAAGAGTATCCTGCTGTAAGGAGAGTTCAGGAGGATTTTTGTCTAAATATTTTGTCGATTCCCCATGCACACAATTAAGCTTAAGAGGAAGTTCTTAAACATTTCTGCATCTTCAGGGTCTTTGAATTATGTACCTCCTTAAAAATATATAGAGAGAGATATATAGAGATATATTTCAATCATTCAATTACGCAGGATTTGAATAATGAATTGTGTTAAGAGAGAGAACAGGAAGACAAAACAATTCAGAAGACAGGAAAGAAATACGTTATAATTTGATTTTCAACAGTCTTCTCTCAGGAAAATAAAATGCTATTTCTGTAGTACTCTTGTGTATACCAAAAAGCTAAATATAAAATCTGTGTTGGACATTAATAACTCTCCAGGTATCTGCCAGACCACATTCTTTAATGAATTAACTGGTCTTCAAAATGTACTTTTTCCCCCCCTTTCCAGAAGCCATATTTCTGCTGTCTGCTTGTGCATTTTTTTCCTCCTTGATGACTCTCTTCCTTTGCTCCCTCACATTTATTACCAAAGCATAAAGGCCAGCGTTAGAGAGCATTAAGCTGCCAAGACCATATGTCACCCTCTTCTCCTGACCCGATGCACCAGCTGTGGGGAGCCCTGGCTGGCAAACAACAAGTCCTGTAGCTTAACTTATCACGGCGAGAGGTGAATGCTTGCAGATCAGCACCACAGTAACTTACGCGATTCCTGGGAAGGGGATGGAAACGGCACAGGCGATTACAGTGCAAAGCGTACTGAACTGCCAAAAAGGCAAGTTCAACTCATTTACTCGACTTCTACTTCATTTCTTATTTTCTTACCCTTCAGAGCCCCCTTGAGATGTGATATGTGAACTTAGCTAGGGACAAGAGACAGACTGCTCAAATCTGCAGAAACGCTGAAGCCCCCGAGAACACTTAGAAAACTTGCCCAAAACGGGATGTCTGGAAACATTCCCATAAATTGTCATTTTTGCTATTTCTGCAATAGCAGCATTACACTTTGTGCCTCCCTGTCCTGCCTCCCAGAAGGAGCTGCACGGGAGCCTAGGAAGAGGCCCATATCATCATGCCCAAAACCTGTCCCGGCATCCACAGCAGCCAGACACCTTCACGTTCGATTTCTTCGTCCTCCTCTGTTGTATCATTTGACAAATCGTTTTGGAAAGAAAATGGAAACACTTAAAAATATAATGTTATCAGAGCGGAGGTAAATTCAAGATAGCTAATAATCCTATCAGTTGGATGTTTTTAAGTTGCAGGATTTTAAAGGGCACAAATACTTAAGTATACAGAAATGTTAACAACAGTGATCCAATCCGGTGTGACAGGTCCTGCCTGTACTCCACTTAGTGCTATGCATTCATCTGACAGTGGCCAAGGGGAAGAGAAAGAAACACATCTACTGTTTTGATCTTGAAAGGTAATTTAGTTTTTCCCTGGGGCTTTTTGTTTATTTTTAATTTTTTTTTCTTACAGAGACTGAACTCCTCTGGGATTCCTGGACAACTGCTCTCCCACAACTCTATATAGTACATTGCTCGCTAATATAGCGAAGGTTGGGGACAATTTTAAAAAGCTCTTTTGTTCTGCTTCAGAAGCACGGTGAGCTCTGAGGGTCTTTTAAATTTAACTTTTTAAACAGGAAAGTCCCATACTCAGCAGATGGAACTTCCCCTTTATTTCTGTAGAGCAAATAAACCACAACTTGGCTGACACTTGGTTAATTAAATAAGCAAAATTGCCTCAAAACAACCCAAAAAATTCCCCTTTCCGAGTGCTGAAAGAGCTCATACTGTGTTAATATGTAGTTTGGAAAATAAACTTAAATGCAGTATCTTAAAAAAAACCTCAAAATTTATGTTAGTTCATTTTAGGCCACTCTTGTTTAATTAAGCTATTATACTTGGAATTATTCTAATTTAAATTTTCCCTGAATATAAATTTTCTACCCGCAGTTTTCCATTGCCAAACCTGGGGCAAGTATCAAAGACAGAAACGGCTAACAAACTCAGCTTTAAGTTATCTAAATGCCCGCTAGCGATGCTTTCTGAAGAAAACATTATCAGTAATGTCCTACACATTATACTATGCATCCTAAGAAATAATATTAACGGCAAACTTAGTAAACTGCCAAGTTTTTCATTTTGCACATGAAGACAAGGCTTCACAAAAATTATATTTCTCTTAATAGCAAAGATCAGTTAAAGATCAAAAAGAAGATCAAAGATCCATTGTGTGTCTCATATTAGGGACTTCTTGCTATGACTGAAAAAGACCTCCCACGTTATTAGAATCAAATTCACTATTGTTATAACTGGGCACAACCTGAACACTGTCATAGCAGCTGTAACCACATAAAGCAGCTGTGAATTTGGACCACGATGGCCTCTGAACAGTACTATGCTGTAACAGCCCCACGTTACCCTTGAGAACGGGATTGCCTCTCTCTCCTCATTTTGCCACAGTTGTATCTTCATCTACTGGCATAGATATGAAAAAGTGACAAAGTCCATTAACTAGACTAAATGAGATCTCTGCAGCTTAAAAAAAATAATACAGACGAGTTGTAAATCACAACACAGCCAGGGCAAGAGTCACCATTACTGTTCAAATAATTAATGAGCCCAGGCTTTCAAAACATGAAATGCTGCTATTTCAGCTTCTGAATTACTGTAGGGAACTGCTGCACGAGAAATAAAATACATCAATTAAATGACTCAGGACTTGGGACGACTTTTTTTTTTTTTTTTTTTTAATAAAAGAGTATCATAATATGACTGGGGACGGGTGAGGGTGGAGCAGGGAGAGATGAAGATTTGAAATGGGAAAATAAAAGCATTGCTTAAGTTAAAATCCTAAAGAGCTCAAATACAACATTTCTCATCCAGAAAGGTTTCTGTGTTTGTCACCTGAAGACAAACTTCAGCAGTTAACCATCTTGAGACAATTGTGTACTTCTCATACCATCTAACTCGTGATTATAAACCAGCACAAGGCACAGTTAACATATTACTGATAGTGTTAAAGTAATGAAATTACTTTAGTATCTCACTAGGATTTGTAGTAAAATCCAAGACCTTTGATTTTTAGGACCTGTCTATAGCACCTGGTGGTGCCTTTTCTAAAGCAAAAACACTGAACAGGAGGCTGCCAAGCGCGCCCACACGGGTGAGGCTTTGTCCAGTATTTAGGTTTAGATGCAACCCACTTTCCCCCCAAAAGCACTGCCAAACTGCCTCAGTTTTTCCAGCTGTGAGGTGAAAGGACTTAGCAACACGTTTCTAGAAGAACGACAGCGGCGACAAGCAGCCTGTATTTTGTACCTGTCTCATCAGGGGAGCTTGGGGAAGCGCTGTCCTGCGACAGCGTTGTCCAGCTGGAGTCCTCATCGCTCGGAGCGAGGTTTTGAATCCTGTGTAGCGCACAGTCCGTTTTGGCCCCAGTTTTAGGGTGGTCTTTCTTAGTCTCGGGACTTGATGACACCATGGCAACTTGGCCATCCTCCGGGCTCGGCAGCTTGTTTTGTTTCCGGGGCAAGACTTCTCCATTGACAATAACGGTAGAAGCCTGGCTGTTGCTTTGTGCACAGTTATCTTCCATCGCAACAAAGCTCTGTTCTAGTTCTCTAGTGGACGTTTCCAGATCTGCATAGTAATTTAGGAAGCTCTTGGTTCTCCTTGGCTGGGAGGGTAATATTTCACAGCCTGAGAAATCCTGTGGGATTGGCTCTTTACCTTCAAACTTCTCAGAAGTTATGTTTATGCCTGCAGTGGAACTGAGGTTTTTGTTGGGATCCTGCTGTCCCTGCTCCGCAGCTTTTCTGAGCTGGTTTTCTCCATTCTTCACCAGCTTTATATTGGCAGAGCTGCTCCCCAGAAGGGGTTGTGCTGCTGGATCAGAAAGACCCATGGCTGTCTGAATGTTAGTTAGTGCATATTTTTTCCTGCATTTTGGAGGAGTGCTGTTCTTGGCCTCTGTATGTTTGATTTCTGCATTCAACAGTTCATTATGAGAAGAGCGCAGGTTAAGGGTGTTTGGTGGGGTGGCGGGATTATTGCGATTCACAACGTCTGTCGTGCTGCCGCTTGCCATAAACACTGCCAACGCGTCCACACCAGAATCGACTAGAAAAGCAAAAGAAACAGTTATGAGACATTCATTACGTATTATTCCATGAGAGCTTTTGGTAAGGGGATGCAATGCTTTACATAACTGTTTTATAATAGGAAAGCTACCACAAGCAAAGCTCAGAGCATTAAATAAGGGGAAAACGAGACAGGAAAACGCGGAGAGATCATCTCACGTGGAGAGGACTGTGAAGCTGGGAAACGGGCAGAAAGCTTGATCCTATATAAACGAAGCACTTCAATCATGTCCAAGCTCCTGTATTCCAGGCAGACAGGCTTGCGAATAGAAGAGGTGCTCTTTGCAAATGCCCAGAAATAAGCTGTCCTCACTACTGTTAAATTTTAATATTCTACCACTACAGCAGATAAGAAGAAGAATTCTTCTAGCACTCGCCACTAGGAAGCCAAAGGTCTGAGAAGCAATTTTTTTAATAGATTGTAAGCAGATGCTGCTCCTTTTTAAGTCTTATCTGTATTGTTTATCTATCTATATTTATTTATTAAGGCAGAATTTGAGTACAGTTAGATTTAAGCATGGGTGGCCAGTAAGCTATTGCCTTTTAAAACCTGAAATTTCTCTGCTGTTTATCCTTTTCTCCTTCTTTTTTTTTTTTTTTTTTCAAGGAAGAGAAATGGGGAAGGCCAAAGAGGCAGCAGTGTGTATGCTTCGTTCACCACAGTACTGTATCGCACAATACTGTATTTGATTTCCATGAGGAAAAAGAAAAGCCTCGCCAAAATATCCTGCTGCAATTCAGTCAGCTTAAAAAAAAGGGCTACTCCAGAGATGAAGATGGTTTACTATTTTTATAGCTCACAAAGTTCTAAACTAAGGATTAAACGCATGTCCAAGTGCACATACTCTTCAGATAAATAAAAGCATTCTTTTGTCTTCTTGTGGACAAGATTCTGACTTTAACTAGTCAGGGCTACAAGCTCACATTTTGCAAAAAATTAGGTTTGTTCAGAGAACAGATTTTCAGACTATGATAAAGTGATTAGAATTTTTTTTAAACCATCATTTGTTCTTCTCCTGCTTATTTATTGCAATTCCCAGGGTAAATATGCCTACCACTAATCTACATAATACACCATGAACAGCTCAATTTACACAACATAGTAGTCACTGTTGTTTGACAGCTGGCAACCAAACCAGAGGCCAATTAATAAATCAGTCCCAGCTGCCACAACATGAAACACCCTTCCTGTTGTTCCTAATTCTCAGACAGTGCCAATTGCTTATATTGCACATAAAAACGTGTCTGGGGCTTATCCAAGAATGAAAAACTATAATTTGAGCTCGCTGATGACAGATCATTCCAGTTGAGTTGTGCTGCATCCTTATGTATTTGATATATGACAGAACAGACTGCTGTATAGATTTGCAAGAGATTACACACAGGCTTAAAAAAAACCCAGCATACACGAACTCACAGAACAAAAAAGGGGCACTTCAGAAAGACAGGTATATGCACGTACAGTTGCTAGTGTTCTCTCCTCTTTAATGCGTCTTCAAAGCTATATACTTCTAATCATCATTCTATTTTATTTCAAATGAAACAGACCAAGTATATTCTTTGTCCCCTGAACCATCCACCTAGAACAACTTCTAAAACTTGTTCAAAACAGAATTTAAACTCAATTTTACAAATTTTTTAATTTCTGCCATTTCCTCAAGGATCTGCCTGTCAGTGTAGACCAACTGCAAATTCCTTGGAAGAAACACTGTCCCATGCACGCCGGGCAACAGCCGTCAGCTTATGCAACAGTTCACGTCTTACAGACAATTTCAGTTTAAGCCACGAGAAATTTCTAAAACACAATCACCACATAATTTAAAGACTTCTGTAAGCGTAGTTCACATATAAAAAAGGTAAATAAACACATAAAAGCTGGCACTTTCTCCATCTCACATAAAACAACTAAATCCACTGATCCAATGTAATGTTACCAAAGCACACAGTTTAATCCAAAAACATGAAATGGCCTGTGTTTATGGGTTGACTGCTTTATATATTCTTCTGAATCAGTTAAAATCTGGAGTTAACCCGGAAGCTGAATTGCATATTAAAATACATTGATATGGCAGGATAATTTTGACCTATTGCTTAACCTTTCGAATTTATGGAATTATACATTATCTATGGATTTCACTCAGATAATGTATGACATTTTAGTTTATGTTTCAGGAAATTAAAAACAAACTTTTATTTTTACTTCATTAAATGCAACTGCCCTGATCCGTGTTCTCCAGCAATGGACTCACCCACCACAAGACTGAAATTTCTTCTTGTCCTTTCTTACGAGTGGATTGGTTCATGGCTTATGTGGTCTACCACTATTTTTACTATCGGACAAGTTTCTTAAAAAATAGTCTTCCTAGATAAAGCTTAGCTATCTGCTTGCCAGATTATCTTGAGTCAGTCTCCCCGTGGTTAGCATTTCACATATCAAAAATATTATAAGAATTAGCACATGGAGACAAAGAAACAAAATATATTTTGTTTACCAGTCTGCCCAATAAAGGTCCACGAGTGATTTATCACAAACATCGACATATTGATCAATTAAAGTCTCCAGAGGCTTGATGTGAAGGCACTGAGAGCCAAGCAAGGTTTCTAAGCTGTGCGCTAAGCCGGGTTGGTGCCTGACCACCAGTAGAAAAAGGTCAAAAAGAGCCTTCGCTAGACTCCACCTCCTCCTCTCACCCCGTTCAGACGGTCCATTAACATGCTAATAAACAGCACCAAGAGGTACAAAGAGTAAAAAGGGTGTCCCTTCCTGGGGCAGGTGTCTGCTTCCCGGCCATCACCAACAAAAAGGAACAGAGGTGAGGACGTGCTGCTCCTGCATCACCAGTCCTGCTCTGCAGCACGCCCCACCGGCACCCATCTGCTCTTGCAAATGGGACAAAAGGGGGCAGAAGGAGAAGGAACAAAGGAGGCTAAAAGAGAACAAGAAATATAAACAAGAAAGGACAGGTCTCATCTCTCAAGGGGGGAAGATAATATCAGATTAGGATAATTAAAGTGTTAGAAGTCCTTTAAATTCAAGTCCTTTAAATGCCTTAAACGCCCTGAAGAAAATCCAAAGTTATGTAGTAGAACAACATGAGGAAAAAGAGACGTTGTCCACATACACCCCTATATAGGATACTATCATGCTGAAAACAGGTCATTTTCCCCAGAGGAAGCCCAGCCCCACTTTCTACTCAAAAACTTCAGGGAAATGCAACTTCTTCCTGTGCCTCTGCTCTGTCACTTCTGAGCCAGATGAAGGAAAAAGGGGGAAAAAAAAAAACACACAGTTGGGGCTTTCTGGAAAACTCCAGCACGGCATCTGTCCTGAGCCTCGCATCCCTGCCAGCGTGCCGCTGTTGGGAGCTGCGCCTCTTTTCACCAACTTTGCTCATAGCTAAGGGGAGCAGCAGGGCCCAGCCCTGCACTTCGGCATTTACCACAGCTCCTACACCTCCCTATAGACAAGTCTGACCTCTCGGCTTAAATTCACATTTCAGAAGTCTCATTTGAGCTTTATAGTCACTTCCTCCTATCACGAGTTTTATTTTAGGTCTTGACCAAAAACAAAGCGCGCACACTGGGATTTTTGCATCAAGCGGTGAAAGAGCCTCTTCTCAGTGCTATGACATCAGATTTTTTTTTTAGTGGGCTCTAACAAATCTAGGTGCAGAGGCAAATACAAAAAGTTGCTTTTTAGGGAAGCAATCAACAAATATACTGCTTGCTATCCACCCTCCAATGCATCCCAAATACACCTGCAGGAGGTGCAGTTTCAGACTAGTCAAAGCGATTCACTGTCACCACAGAAGCCAAAAGGCCATGGGGGAGAGTAAAGACGAGAGCCTCCTCCCTCAAAGCCAACCTGCCTTTCCACTAGCACCGTGACCCTTCATCGAGGCATACCGTAATGTAACACGCAGGGGACCCCATCTCGTATTCATACTTGGACATGCAATGAACTGCTAAAAATAAAGAGGGTACATGAAGTACTTTAAGCATTTAGCAAAGAGGAAATAAGCAATAGTTTTGATTTGCAGTACTGTTAACTGGAAACAAAAGATTAACAGGAACAGAATAGGCCATGCTTAATACGAGATTTTCATACGAGAGTGTTTTCTGCAGCAAGGCAAAGCAGACACCCCACGGAAGGCAGCAAGAGATAACTTTTCCACTTCACCTGCACTCTGCAACACTCAGCTCCTGCATGGAAGAGAAAGAGCCTCCACAATCTACACAGCTACACTGGAGAGTGTCTCTAGCCTCCAACACCCATAAGAAGCTGGAGAGCTGAGGGATGATCTACACAGCAGTGAATTAACTCACCGCATTGCCACCCAGCCCTGTGAAATGTGGCAACCCCAAGGCTCTGTGCATCCAAGCAAGATGTATCATCTCCCTTTCCCATCACTCTTCCTATGCTCCTGTATGCCTTGAGATCGCATCCTCAGGCCTAGTGAGACAGATTTCGCTCCTCAGTGCAAGGGCAAGGCAGTGTCTATTTCCTAGTATTTCTTCGGACAAAAAGAAATCAGTAGAGTAGACTCAGAAAATTAAAACACAAAAAATGTGTTTTTATTTAGTGCAAACAGTGATTCATGTGAGCATTAACTTTGGTACAATACACCAGTTTAGTTAGCCATGCTATACAGATCCATACCAGATTAGCAGGTTGATTCAACTACTGCAGTTCCTCCCCCCCCCCAAACCTTAGCAGGACCTTGTAAAAGTCGTCTTTACTATTGCTTGGTATTGTGCAACCACCCTAAAGCAGCATTCACTCCGTCTGACAACTCAGTGCCTGTGACTTCAGGTTCCTGGGAACTGAACCTCAGGCTCCTCCTTTAAGGTCCCACTCTTGTACTGAAGAGTTGCACAATCCTACCAAAGATCTCAGTGAGAATGTATTCAAATCCCAAAGGAGCTGCTGCACTGAGATATCAATCCTTCTCTTCAAATTTATCCTTTCTTTTAAGGAAACTGGCTAAGCCAAGAACTAACAGAACAGACTGAATAATTTCAGAGGACATGTCAGAGCTTCACACATTTCCCTAACTTAACTATGCTTTCAATATGGAAAAAAATTTAAAAACCACATTGAGGATCAGCTGCTGAGATCCCACCCAAATGCCCTGGAAGCTAGGTACCCAAATTCCCTGGGAAAAGCTTTTGGAAAGTCTCAGACTGCCTTTGTGCACTTGATTATCTCAAACACGCCAATGTTGCACAGGAGAGGTCACTGCTCCTCCCGAAACGAGCTCACGGCTTAACGTGACACAAGATAAACAAGAAAAGTAAAGAGCGATATCATCACTTTGACAAAAAAGGTTATATACCAGCAGCATCTCTCTTTCAAAACTACTCATAAAAGCTTCCACCATCACAGCCGGAGTAATCACCAATACGAGTCACGTATCTCAGCTAGAGCAGATGAAGGGCGATAAATAAGTGAAAACAGTATGATAATAAAAAATATTGGACTCTAGCTAAGAGCTAAGAATAATCAGGACATTATCATCACTAAGAATAATTCAGACACTTAAAATTTTGGTGCTTAAAGACAGCTCTCAAGTAGGCAGAGGAGCTGGTATAGCAATTCATTACTGATTCTAGCTTGCTTACTTTTTAAAATAAACCACAAAGTCTCAGTTGCATTCTTCTAATGTTTAGAAACATAGCTACAGATATTGATTAATAAACTTTCATTGATATAATGCACTTAACACAAAAGACCTCAATTTTCTGAGCATCATAATAATACAAATAGTACTATTACTGGATATTTTTCAAATATGTCATAAAACTCACAGAGCTGGAAGAAAGATAAAGAGTCTCACTACAAACACAAAAAATGAGTGCACAGCTAATTTGGTTTCAATGGAAATAAGATGTTTGTTTTCATTATATTGTCTATAGGAATGGTTTTAGAAAGCTGAACAGAGAGCTCATTCAAAACGGCACTGTTAAAAAGAAAGCACTTGCTCTTTCCCACTTATGAGTGCAAAATTAAAGCAAAAACGGGCTTGACAAGAAGAAGAAAAAGAAGAAGAAAGTGTACATATTTGCATAGCAGAATCTTTTAAAGGGCATCTGACCTGGAAGTACTTCTGACATGGCTCACAGGGCTTCAGCAATGCACCAGGAAATAGATTATAATTTGAAATCTGAAAAGAGGGATCATTTAAGAATTAAAAACAAAGGAAAACACAAAATAGAAATACCACATTACAGAAGTTCCTGAGGGACGTTAAGCATTCTAAATAAACCCTAGTAACATAACAGTGATCATCTTTTGAGCTTTTTGTAGTGGGAGAGGCTAGTCTACAGCTAATGTGAACAAGTAATTAAAAGCAACTGTGACATCCTTTTTGTTTGTGCATGCTCTACTAGGAGCACACGTTCAAAAATTTTCTCTGGTTTATACAACTTGCTGTAGCAAAGAATTCATTAGGTTACAAACAGGAGTTTTTCCTAATTACCCAACTACAGCTTACTCAGGAAACGACATGAGTTTTGGCAAAATAAACGTGGCAGTAAGGCACATTTGCGTGAACAATTTGCAGAATTAGACCCAGTATTTGGAACTAATGAGGATAGTTTGCAAGACACATCTGACAGGAGAGACTCACGAAAAGCAAGCTAAGCAGCTACCTCGTGCACAGAGGAGGAGCTTTTATTGCCATCTTTTCGTAAGTAAACCATTTCGCTCGGAAGTCCCTGGTTTCGATGCGAGTGAAATATAGGCTGGAAGTACTTCTATGCATCTATGACTATTTCTGCAGCTGTGTTTGGGAAACATAGGAAAGAAATAATACAAACCTTTTCATAAAGCAGATTTCCTTTCTGCAAGGATATCTGTTGAAGACAAAACGTTTAATGATAAACTCGGGGTCTCAGGCTATAACTTCAGGTCCTGTACAACTTCAGTTCTCACTAAAGCCATCGTTATATAACTAGTGTTAAGTCAGAATTGTTAACTCCTTCAGCTTTAAAAATGTTAAAAAAAGTTAACTCTTATGTAAATATTCTAACATACTGTCTTCTCACATCTGTATTTTCCTTCAAATAGAACCAGCTAAATAGTAATAGTTACACAAATGTCAGTCAGAAGTATCCTAATAACGTCTAGATTTACACTAATGTAGCTAAAATCAGAATTAGGACTAGAAGCTTTAAGACAAGTTTTATTCTGTTCCTTTTTGCCTACATTAATCACACAAATTCCATTTTTTCCAGGGAATGTTGAACATTTTCAGAGGCGGAGAAGGAAGGGGGGAAACCACCTGGAGGAACTGCTGTGGCAGACCAGAGGAAACGGTGATGTTCCTACAGCCAGTGGCTTTCTTCTCATTACCCCTTCCAGCAATGACATGGCTGCTGGACTGAGCATGAAGCTGGAGAGAGAAAGGTAGAGCTCAGCAAAGCTAGGAGAGCAAGCTAAGCCCCAAACTCTGAAAGGGTGCACAACAGTTTTGGGAACGGAAGGGTTGGAAAGGAGCAGGGTTGCAAGCAGCTTGCACATATACTTTCAAACTCATCTGCAGCCCGCTCTGCCGGCATCACAGCTGCCCTCTCCACTCCACCCGGCTCTTTCCTCCTTCCACAACAAAATCACCTCTTAAATTGCTTGCTTATGCAGCTCCTCCCATTTCCAGCTATTTCTGTTTCACCTAGTCCTACTGAAATCGCGATCCGGTAACCAGCTTCCTCTCCTGGCTTTTGTCCCCCCCCCGAAGAGGCACCCTGCCAGCTTCCCCTGCCACATAATTACATTCTTTGCTTTTAGAGCTAAACAAACTGCCAACTGACTGTAAGAGCCTAGCGGCAGCGCTGTCTGCATTCTGCTGAGGCTCTTATTAATGGAAATGCATAATACTGATCTGTCTTTAAACAATGTTATTAAGGAAAAAACAACTTAAGATCTTGCAATGAGTTGCGGCACACAAGTGGAGTATGCCTTCCTATTTATGGTTTTTTCCCTCCCCCTTCCCACACTTCCACTCAAATTCCTCGTCCAACAAAAATTCAGGGACAAGATGCCTCTCAGAATCAGATTCTAACAGTTGCAAACAAAAACCAAGAAGCAGGCTTGATTCTTTCCTCCCTTCCTTATCATTTTAATAGGATTTATGCATCTACATAATCAGTATATATTTGACTATCTGATAAAACACTGTGCTGCATTCGGTCTGCCCTGGTCAGCTCATCCTAATGGAACATTCTTAAATCAAGTAATCATCTGCATGAATAAAAAGCAGTAGTATCATTTATATAAGGCATAACCATTACATACTATCAGGGTCAAGTCTGCATTTAGTAAGGGTAAGAACAAGATGACGTGGTAAGTATTTGCAGATTTAATTTTCTTCCTTTAATTAGATTGTCCCCCCTATGCAGAATGGAACAATCTGGCAAGCAAAAACAATGTTGTCACTGCAAAAAGATGGAGTGTTTTATCTATTGGCTGCTTACAAGCACAGACAATAAGACCTTCTGTCATCAGATCCATACATTCACATGGACATTTGCTTAGTAAACCTCAAAGTCATTTTTTAATTCTGTTGTGTAAGTTAAACTCTCAAGCCTGAATGATCTTGTTTTTTTTTTTAAAATCAGCATATGAATACTCAGTCACTGCAATAAAGATCACACTTCGACCTATTTTTTAATTGCAAATAAACAACTCTGCTTTAAATGTGCATGCTAATATGGAGAACAAACATATACTTCATTCTCTCTTACACAGACTGAGATACAAACCCAGAAATCATAACTTAAGTTTCTGCAACCAAGACAGACGATAAAGCAAGTAGGACTTGGTCTTCCACATCCTGCAGCTTCAACCTCAAGTAGCACCTAAAAACAAATTTTACCAATTCTCAAGGTAAACAATGAGCAGACAAAGCTGATCAGATTTATCAAGACCAAAGCATAATAATACTATATAAAAAAGAAAGCTAGTATAAACTTAAATCTGTCCCACATATTTCTGCTAGGGAATACAAAGAAAAACACGTTTGCTAAAGCACACAGTCTACCCAGATGCTTAACAAAGCAATAAAAAGGAATCAGTGGTCATGGATTTGGCACATAAAATGATTGAGACTGAATTCAGATCAGGGAATTTTCAGCCTCCACATAAATCTAACATAAGTCATTCAACAGCTCCTAAATCAGGAAGCAGAGCTATTCAAAGTATGATTGATTCCCGCACACGGTTAAAGAAACTGGCAGGATCCATCATCAACACCAGCTTTCCAACTGTTCGTAATGGCACCAACCCAATACCAAGCTCTTTGATCAGGAGGCATGGGCAAGGAAAGTAGCAAAGAGAATAAGCAGAGGTCACAGCTTTATTAACAGAAGCAGCAAAAACGTTAACTGGACCGCTGTCAGATGTGACGGATGAGTTAAGTTCCAGCACAGCATCTGTGCTGAACAAGAAAAGATTATACTTATCATTAACCATCTCCCACACATCTTGTCTGAAGCTCCGCTACTGGCAGCTTGCAAACGCTTTACTGTTCCCGCAAAGCCTAGAAACAACATTGCATACTCTTGAGCACAATCAGCGTCTAGGGTAACAGCTGACTGCATGCACACAAACTCAGACGTACCAATTTCTCTCTTTAAACTAATATATTTTAACAATTAAACTTGTGATGGCCTGGCATCATGATTTCACCTGCTACAGCTTTTTTGCCCTCTGAATTACACATAATAAATTTATGGCTAGTTACACATTAAGCTGCTATCAAGGTTATAAAGAAATGTTTTTACCTTCAAAATGCCTGGACTAGCAGTAGTAGCTCTGAGCCAGCTATTATCACTGCTTCGTAACTGAGATCATAAAATATGTTTGAAAAAGTATTGTACATCACAGCTATTTTCTTGTTATTCTAAGGCTATACTTAGCGTCAAGTTGGGATCTAGGGATGTAAATCTGAAAATTAAATAAATGGGAAAATCTTTCAATATACTTTCTACAATTCTATAAGAAAAGAGATGAAGAATAAAAATACGGATATATCTAAAGCCTCAATATAAAGAATTGAAAACTCTTAATTTCATTGATTTGCAGTATTTGCAAATCACTTCAAATAGCTAACAGTAAGTTGAGTCAAGTAAGCAAAATAAAAAGTGTTTTCACAGAACACAGGCTAATAATTTCAGCATCTAAATGAGACTGACATGATTTCAAGAATAAAAAAGGCTCATTACAAATAAATAAATCTCAAAAAAGGCTGAGCAGCTGCCAAAAAAGCTGCTTGTTGTCTTCAACCATATCTTAAGGGCACAAACAAGAAACAATTTGAAACACAGAAAGAGAGGATTTATACAGCAACTGTTACAACGCTTCTTAAGCTAACACAAGGTTGAGAGATGATTGAGGGCCGTATCCTATAGTAACTCTGTCAAATGTTACTATGGTCCTAGAATACAGGAATAACTTTAGTCTTGGTTGGCTTAACAAGCAGACTTCCTTGAGATTGCTGTTGTAAAGGCTGAGAAACGTTACCTTAGTGCTCCCAAATAAAAGCAAATCACATGCTCATAAAATCAAAGTATCATATTTGCTTTATGGTTCCTGTAAGCTAAACAGATCAACCAATAATAAAGTGAAAGGAGAACATAAAAAAGCAACTGCACTCACTAGCGTTTAGTTTGCTAAAGTGTGGCTAAAACTGTGGCTAAAACTGTGGCTAAGCTTCAACAAGCAGGAAACTTGGCTGTAAAAGAGATAAAACAAGCAGAAAAGAACAAGTTAGTAGAATTATTGACCTGAATTTCAACAAGGCAGGATGCAACTTTAAGTTCTTGATGTGCTGATAAAATACTATTTTTTTTCTTGCGCTATCGTCACCTATGAACTCACATATCTTCATGAGATACTCTACCAGTAAAGAGCTGAGATCCCTGTGAAACGGGCCAGGTGTGCGAGATGCAAACTCATCAGATGGTCCTCGTCAGTGAACATGCACAATCCCAGGAGGAGCACTCCACCTCCCATTTCATTTTTAAGAACAAATGGGGCTGTCAAGGTTCAAAATTTAGCTATTTTAAGGACCAAACTTGGAAGTGACAACGCGTACTCAGTTCTTACAGAACGCTTTTATCTGCAGATCCCCAGTCAGCCGCCAAAGGTGGTTAGCATTACAGACTTGACTTCCTATCTGTGGAAACAGGCAAGCGTTCTGGGGCTTTGCCAGGATAATCCAAGAGGCTTTGAAGAAATTGTAATGCAGGTCTCCACAGCATTTCCTAGGGAAGGTGGAAGCCTAAACAAAAGAGGCTTTAACTAGGAGAGTGACATATGTGCAATCAGATGCATCATCCATCTCCCTGCCTTTTCCTTATCTAAGCAACCACTCATATTTACAGCTTTTCAGCAACGTTATAGAAAACTCTCTCTCCTAAGCATGAACTGAGCAGTACCAATACTAGAGTCTCAATTACACTGAGATCCCTTTAGGCTGCTCGGCTAGCAAAGTTTAGAGAAAAACTAAGCGTTGTCCGGCCAGTGGAGAGAACCTTTAGGATCACTAACTGGCACACCTACCAGAAAAACAAAATACTGCTACTGTACTGTGAGGAAAGAAAAAGTCAAGAAATACAGTGCAGGTTTGTGTATATGGAGAATTTTACTAGGACACTTTGACCAAGAGGTGAACTGTGTGTACGCTGCTCTTTGGGAGCAAGATTGCCTCTTTCAAGTGAATTCTCTGTTGCTTTGGCAGCGGTTCAAGTCAAGCCCAAAGAGCTATTCCAGAGTCAATTTTCACACCAACTTTGCTGGGTTAGCTATAGCAACAAAATTTTATTGAGGCCAGCCATGAGACTGGAAGTTTGGGGGGGGGGGTTTTCAGGTCTTTGTTGGTATTTATAGTCTCAACATTCTAGCATGTGTTTCCCTACTTCACAGAAATGAAGCTAAAACTTTCCAGAATTTGATTAAAGCAGCCCTCCCTTGTAAGCCCAGCAGTGGGAGACTGCCCCCTGGGCAAAAAAAGACTGCAGATCGGCACTGCCTGGGAAGCTGGAGAGACACAGACAAAACAGGAATTTGAGCATTCCCAGAGGGAAATCAAACCTCAAGTTTATAAAGTCCACCCTGCTCTCTGTGCCTTGAATGATACTGAATTATTTCTAAGCAGAACAGCTCTAGCATGGGAGACAATCAGGAAGAACTGAGACTCCAGCCTCTCCCTGCACAGCCCAGGGCAGCACCTCCCCACAGGGAGTATTTCCTTTCATCTCCATCCTCGATTTGTGAACATTTCATCTAAATGGTATTTCTCCAACAACGTTTGCTTGGCAAATCATCCTCCATCAGAAGTCTCTGAAATAAAAATTTAGTCAGCTCTAATAATTTTATTGGCAGAATTACATCAATAAATTATTCCATATGGACCACCAGCCCGAGAAGTTTTTAAATAAAAGATGCTCAATGGTTCAAAGGAAAAAAAAAAAAAAAGCCCACAGAATTCCACCTCTGTCCTCCAAAAATCAAGAGCTTTTCAGGGCAATATAAGCATAACAACATTGGTCCTGTCTCTCCAGATAGCAAAGGCTGAAGAAGGAGCTGCAGGTGGAAGTGGTCCCCTTCTCCCTGCGAAGGCTGAAACACCAGCCTGGGACTGCACTGCACAGCCATATTCCAACAGCCAGCTAGTACAGAAAACTGCCATCCACAAATTTGTGCATGTCCTCATTTCTAATGTCTTGGGAAAAAAAAGGTTTTGTTTTTTTTTGTTTTGTTTTTTTAAGAACTGTTAGAAAACACAACTGCTGTGCATTTAATTATTATTTAAACTCTGGCCGAGTCTTTAAGAGCATGTAGGACAGCAGAATGGAACTGGACTCAATTCCACTTTCCTGGAAAGGCTTTGCTCAGATTTCAGTACTAGGCAAAACACTACAGGTAACCAAACGAATCATTATACTGGGGACTGGGCAACCCATTCAAAGGTTTTTCTCAGGCATACAAAAGCCTTTTACTCCAGGCATAGAGCCTAAATTTTCAGCTTCAGCGTGAAAGAAAGTCTGAGGCTACCTCAACAACACGAACCATACTGTGTTTTCAGGAGGGCTGCTGCAGCCATTTCAGAAAAGTGATTCTCATGAGCAAATATTAGAAGAGATATAAATATGAACGAAGGTCAGGAGACGTTCAAGAAAGAAGAGTCTTGTTTCCAAAAACCTAGATTCTCAGTAGCTGGAGACTTTTCATCCTTAAGTTTGTAATTTTCACAAGTTTGTAATTTTTCACCAACATAGTCCGCCATACAAGGGAGGCTGGCTGTTGAGCTGTAAGTCAGGACAAGTAATGCTAAGCAGAGCCAGGGATACACTGCCTTCTTTATGTTTAGTAATCAAAAAAATCTCTGCTCTTTAAACGTCTAAACAAGTACAAATCAAACTGATGTGTTAAAATTACCTTGCCCAGATAAAAATCAAAACTGCTAAATTCAAGTTTTTAATTACTCATTTGAAACATCTTGTTTCTCCTTGTGCTTTCAACATCTGTATTTCTAATACATTTCCTGGTACTGGGCTTCAAATAAGCTGTTTTTTTATTTAAGTTGATTACCTGTTTCCGTGGATATAAAACCTTTGCTACTCTCCTAAGACTATGCAATACTATACTCATGAAATTCATGAAGTCATTTAACAAAACATTTTATCTCATAAATGGATTAAAGATTATCTCACCACGTAGAGAGCAATACAACTGCTGTGCTCCACTCAGATCTAATATTTTCCCTTACAGATTTTATTTATTTACAGAAAGGTGGTTACGTACGTACAAGGAAGATAAAAGCCAAAATATAAGGCTTAAGACTGCACCAAGTCCTTAACTGTACAATATTAAAACTGAAAAATCAGAGTAAAGCTCTTTGTTGCAATAACTGTGCATCTAAAAATGCAGTAACAGAGAGGCCCAATTACTTGTAATTTATGCAAAGAAAACACAAGTGAAATGGCACAGTTCTCTAGTTTTCAATTATCTAGTTTCAAGATACTATTTCTCAATGATCTATTTCACAAGTACTGTCACTGCTCAAAACAGAAAACTTTGAGAAAGCTAATTTGCTACCACTCATTTCATCATTATCTGCATTTCCCAAAGACCGGGCAATTTCAATGCCACTATTGTTGATGTGTCTAAAGCACTTACGTTAGGCATCAGGAAATCATACAGATAATATTATAACAAAACCAAAAAATAAGGCAAGCGTCCTGGCTTAGAGACCATGAAAAGGTTAAGGAAAGGGAAATTTTAGATAAAGAAAAACCATAAAGCCATCACTAAGTAGATACTTCGATATCTCAGTCCACAAACAGAGGGTGCTTCGGTGTAATAGACACACATTTCTGAACTTGCAGATGACAGTAGCCCCAGAACTTCCCTGGGCAAACCATTCCAGTTCTTCATCGCCTTCAGCTGTTAAATTCAGCTTGAAGTCTAAGCATGAAACATGGATATCATGCCTTGCGGTATGCCTGAGACCCCAGGTTTAAAGGCTAGCGTCTAGATTTAACATCCAGTGATTCAAATAGATCAGCGTGATTTGGCACTCACCTACCAGAGACCTCAGTTAAAACTGTAACATCCATTTATTTCCCTGGTTTTAGCATAGCCTATATCTCAACATTACCACCTAAGATAAACTCTTTGGAAAAGCAGTATCTGAACTGTCTCTAACGTACCCTTTTAACATGCAGCTTTGTGACACCTATGACTAGCCTGCAGCAGAGAGTAAACACACTTCGCTGCTTGCTAGGATTTAGCCCAAGGGTCAGGAAAAAACCCCACAAAGTCCTGTTCTGCATACAGGGTCTCAGCATGCAGTTCTGTGTGTTCAATGGCAAAGCCACCTTAGGAAGTCCCTGTCCTGGCACAGCTGTAAGTTCTCACTGCAGTCTAACTCCATCAGCTGATGCAAACCTTCGTGGAGCCATGCTGTAAGCTGGATGCCTGAAGTGATCCCAGTTTTAAAATAAAATCTTGCAATAGAACAAATGAAGCAAAAATAAGAGCAATAGAACAAATGAAACAAAAATAAGAGCTTTTTAAAACTAGCTTGGATGCCAAGAAAAACACCCGTGCAATCACACCCCTCTGCAACAGCAGAACAAAGATCAGATACAAAAGTTAACCTAACTCCATTTTACCTCAGGGGCCCGACAGATCAATGGAAAGGGCACGAGGACTGGCAGCAGCCTTCTGGCGCTGGGGATCTATCTCACACAGCTCTCCAGGGAAAGTCATTTCACATCGCTTGCAATGGGGAACCACTGTGGTTCAGTGGCTGCGTTTACACTAGCATTACAGGCAGCCACTTACTAAATGGAAGGTGCAGGTGACAAACGTTAGGAGTTGCTTTTGAACTTTTACAGAAGACAGTAGGAGATCAGATAATATCTTACAATATAATACAATTCAGAAAAGATACAATAACGTTGAACTGGACTATAAATAATCTGGAGTTGTTAGTTGCACGTGTAAGCAATTAAAGCAGCAGCACACAGAAACATTTTTGGGAGAGGTTTGAGTAGTTTGTTAATTTGAAGATATCTAGTTCTAAAAACTTGGAATGGGAGTGAGGAGGAAAAGCAGCACTTAGACTTCTAAGCACTAGCATAAATGAAGGTGGAGACCTTAAACACAAAACACAGCACACTGCAGCAAACTTAACCAAACCCCAGCGTATGTCATTTTTTAAAGTTCTAGCAACCAACTCTGCAATTGGAACATAAATCAATACACTTACCATTTGGGTATCTACACAATAGAGATGGCATTGATTAGAATATGTCAGCATCCTTTATAAAGACTATTTGATAAAGTATGAACTTAGCAGCCCCCAAAAGTAATAAAGTGACAATAAATTAGACCAATTGCATACATACATGAGCTGCTTGGCCGGTAGTGAGCCCCCGGGTACCGCCTGCCCATAGCGCCAGTCAGCACATTACCGCACGTTGTCAGCTGCTTTCAAAGTACAAGATCGAAACGCTTAACTGGGGGGGGGAAGAACAAAAAAAAAAAAAACAACAAAGATTTAGTACAGCTGCTGTATTTTTTCATTAAAATGCTAATGACCCCCACAAATTTCAAGACAACTACGTTTATGAATTATTCAGAGTCATGTTGTCATTGGAGATGAACTGTTGTGCTATAGATGCAGCGCAAATTTATCATTAAGTGTTTGGCCTCCATTAATAAGCTAACATAAATTTTAAGGCACAAAGTAGTCTCAGGTCATACAGTAGCTTGCTTTGGTGCGTGATACTGATGGAATGACAAACAAGGCAAGAAAGTTTGCTCTTAGTTTTAAATACAATGTTGCCTCAACTTTTGTGAGGCTATCACTACAGAAGCAGCTTACGAACAGTTTACTACAGAAGCAGAACTTATCTGCGCTACATAACGTCACTTGCTTTGGAGGCTCTGAGTTCATCTCTAAAAATCAAAGCGTCAGTACCAGAATGCAGGCTACTACTAGTATATTAGTTTTCTGAACACAAAACGCATAGCACACACAGTTTGGGAATCACAAATCCAAAATCTTAACTAAAATGCTACTCATCCTGTCAAATACCAAGTCTAAAATCGTTTAGTTCAAAAACAAGAAGCCCCGTTGCTTCACTCGTTAGTACAAGATTTTGAACTAAAAATTAGCTTTCAGCTGATCTTCAAGTTTATCCTTTTCTCAGTCTAGCTGAATAGTCTTCATCTTCTGAAGTATCTCTCAATGTCCACTGCACGCCAACTGCACAAGTTATAATAAAGACACATTTCCTTTTATTCTCTCCCTTACCAGGAGGAAAAAAAACCCGACAAATTCCAGGGAGCGTTTTTCCTAATATATTAAGAATTTTTACTGTCTCATGCTGCAGCTACAAGCACAGGCTTACTGTATACAGGAAATGATGAGAAATATCAGGAGGACACAGATGGAATAGCATTGCACCCCCTGAAACAGGGAGGAGACTTCCACAAATCTTCAAATAAGCCAGTCCCCAGTTGAGCAGGACACCAGATTATTCCTGAGTTAGATAAGCCTTCTTTTTTGGACTGGCCAGAAAAACACAGGCAAGAAAATAACAGCGACAGAGCGTGTCAAGCTGCTTCTCGCTACTGTTCCATGTCTGCTTCAGCCGGCCCAAATCCAGGCCACCGTGTTTCCACCCCTTCCTTCTCCACTTCTTCCTACCGCTGACGTGTGCGTTGACCCAATTATCTGGTGAGCTGGTTTGGGAGCAAACACACAGAAAAGATGCACGCTCAGCTGGATCACATTCCTGAACTGGCTCACGATGGTGGCACGAGTCATGGCAGCTAGCGAGGCAAGGGGAGAGAATGGGACCATGGCCGTCCGCACTGAAAATAACTTAAAATGCAATCATATAAAACTGTTCTGGCCTCCGTAGATTATTTCTGAAATACAGCCACCCACAAGGCTGCATACCTGATAGCGGAAAAGACAGGTGAGGAACTCCATTATTTGCCAAATCTGTGCTGAGAAAGTGTCCTGTTTAACTCTCCTCGATGGAGAAAGATTACTGAATCAATGAAACCATACCTCTTAACAATTCAGGCTTTTAAGAGGAAAAGTCTGTGCTAAACAATAAAATAAACATTCAATTCCCCAAAACTGCATTTTTTGGCAGTACAATATGAAACTACTGCCTTGCCAAGGGCCAAATAGATCTCTTCAAACTTCTGCAGGAGCCCACTAATTAAACACACATTTTATTGTTGTATAAGGAAAAAAAATTGCAGTTGGCTGTTTCCCCATTCCCACTCCATAGTAGTTGAAAAACTACAAATTCATTGTCATTTCTACTCTTCTCAAACACTTTACGCACCCGGTTTATAATCCATATCTGAATACATGAGAATAGTCCCTAGCTGTGCTGGAATTTAAAAAAGCATTACTAGTGGGGGGAAAAAAAAGTTTATTATATCCAGATTATAGTATTTGCAATTGTTTTCCCAACCTTGAGAAAGAAATTTACAGAGAATTTGAGTCCTGCACCCTGTCATAACAAGTTAAAGAAAACAAACAAAACTCGGAAAAAACCCCAAGTCCCTCCACATAAATACACTCTCAACCAAAATATGGTTTTCCTAAAGTAGTGTGGCCACAACAGGAGTTCAACCACTCTTAGGAGAGGCCACGTAGGGACCCAAAGCTATCATCATTTTAAATACATTAAAAACAAAGAAACAGAGATGTCAGCAGAAAAGACAACCTAAAGGCACATTCTCATTACAGCAGAGGTTTCATTAGTTCCTGTATTAAAATGAAAACTACAGAGATTTACAAGCTAGGTATGCGCACAGCGCTCTGATTTTAGAAAGCCAACTATAAAAAGGCAATTAAGAAATATGTGCCACACAGTAAGTAAAATTAAATTGCAGTTCCTACCGAAAAACAGCAATGATACTGGACTGGCTGTACCTGCAGGAATATACCCAAGTTAAGATAAAAGGAGATGCTGCTGGGGCTTTTTTTTTAAAATCTTTTTTCCAAGAATTATCTTTGAATTCAGAGCATAACCAAAGCAATCTGTCTTTTAAACACCTTAGCTTACCCAGGTGACTCTCAAAGGGACTCTTAAATTCCTCCAACAAGGTCATGCAACTCACAGAAATAAGTGACCTTGTTATCAGAACGCCACAAGCATTTGAAAACTAATACTTATTTTGCTTATACATCCATGAGAAGAGTGAACAAAATGAATGGAGGTCTCAAATACCTGTTCTAAAATAGCCAAGGAACAACGTACGTACAGTTTTACGTGTACGTAACTTAGATAACTGCTTCACAACCGCACATAAACGTGAGGTAAACCTAGATACTCCATACATCAGATCAGACCTTCTCAGTATCAGTTTTAATCTGCTTTTCTACAGCAAAATCACTTTAACAATCCTGCTTTATAGTGATTTCTACTTCTTTATAGTCAAACAAAATTTGACACACACACATATACACTCGCTCTTACGGTTTGTTTTCAAGAAATGCTTTGGATTTGGCTCTGCCTGAAGAATTACTTTTTGTTCCCTCTTGCTGCTCTTCCCTGACTCCTCTGCCTCAGGTGACAACGTTGACCCGTCACACATCACCAGCAGTCACAGGCAACGCAGCACAACCTGAGCAATACCTGCAATACCTGCTAATACGTGCCACACAGGGCAGCACCTGAAAGCAGTATCCCCTTCACCTGATGCCAATGCTTTTCTAATAGCTGCAATGAGAGTGCTACCAGCTACTCATCACCACACATAATGAGGGCATAAATCATCTTGCAAAGCAGCCTGCCACGACTCTCAGCTGAGACTGTCACCTTCCTAAGGCATTTTCTTTCCAGAGCTTCTTTTGTTGCAGCTCTTTTACACTGTTTAGTTTCCGTAACTTCTACAGTTGAGGGTTTTTTTTTTTTTAAACTTGTATTAGTCTTTTGACACTAGATGAAATAGTGAAAAAAATAAATTCTGGGGGTTTTTTGTTTGTTTTGGTTTTTTAATGTGGGAGGTCACACCAGTAGCTATGTCCAAACACTAGGCATTTAGGGTTAAGTTTGCTTCAATTAATTCCATTATCTTCAGTAGGACAAACAACTCATAATTTGACCTCCATATTTTCAATAAACCTTTTTTGAGTTTTTTTTTCCTGCCTTGATCTGTTTTTGCATGCTGCAGGTTGTGTGGACAAGGGTATTAACTGGCCCACTAATTCTTTGACCTTCTCAGGTTCCCTAGAAGCAATGTTTGCTCCGTGTGTGTGTGTACCTGTAGGAGTGTTCACACACATACGTACACGCACACATAAATATACATACATACACACTGGCTGCAATAGCCTTATATAACAGATTGCCAGCAGGCCTTCCATTACATGCCCAAGGAAAAGCATATAGGGGAAAAAAGAAAAAAGATAGCAAGTTACCTACAGATGTCAAGATGTCATCCAAGTGTGCCTGACCACATCATGCAACAGCACCAATGAAGAGTTACACATGGAGAAAATACAAGAGAAGGCTATTCCATGAGGTTTCCCCATGGACAGCTACTCAAGAAGTTATATTCTAGTACTGCTTGGGTGATATTCTGATAGAGAAAAATAATCCTACCTTTAGAATATTGCTTTGAATGCCAGGAAATAATCTTCCTAGGGAATAGGTAAGGGGAATGCCTTTCATTGTTTTAAAAATACACTGAGGGGGCACAGGTGCCACACAAATAGCCCCACTGCAGCAGAGTTCAGACAGCAAAGGCAGCTGATTAAAAAATAAATGAAGAGTATTTTCGGCTTACGTAATTGATGAATGGCTCGTTTCAGGCTGAAAAGGGTGCAATTATATATATGTAGGTACACATTTGTGTATATAATGCAAATATTCTTCCCATAGTCAACAGCTTTTCCACTTGCCTGCATGCCAAAGAGCAGCCGCTCAGAAAATCACCTGTAGGACAACGTTAGTGAAACACGGTTTAAACAAGCCGACCAAGCGAGAAGATCGACTGTCATGAAACTGTGCTACTGATTTCCAGAGGCATATACTGAGGCACTCGCTCCCTGAGCTGGGCACAGCAACCAGATCTCTCGCTCCAAACTGTCTGTTGGAGAAAGCACAACGCTGTCTGCTGGCCAAACATACTTTGCTAACGCTGCGGGTGTGCTGTTTCTGGGAAGGTCGTTAATGACTCACACCCATCATTCTTCATCCATCACCTTTTTAAAAACTGCTATTGTAATTTCAGATTTTCTTAAAGTCTCCTCTGTTGCCCAAGCAGCCTACCTGCCTTTCCAGTCTTGTCTCACCTCCCTTTGCCGAGCAGCGGAAGCACGAAGCCACCTTGCTTACCAAAGGACTCGCTGCCCTTCGCGCCTTCACCCACGGGCACTGCACAGAAGCGTTCAGGGAGCCAGGGTGACAGCCACAACCGAGCAGCACCAGGGACATCCTGCCCCTGTCCAGCCCTGCTGCAGTGGCTGCGGTTTACCTCGCCTGTCGGTGTCTGGGTTGCAGGGTAATCCAGACACCAGACATGCTCCGAGACCTGGAAAGCCCTGGTCTAGCCCAAAGGCCTAGCCACTCTATCGTTTCTCCTTCCAGTGAATTTACACTGCTCAAATTCTTGTTTCTTGCAATCCTTCTGGCTTGAAATTCTCTGTCTGGCTGACTGGCTGACTTCATTCCTACAAGAGCTCCCCCTCCAAGCTCTTGTTCGAAGGCTTGCTCTCTTCTCCAATTCTGAGAAGTCCCTCATGAGGCTATTCCTCATTCTCGGTACTCTTTTCCAGGTACTGTGCAGCCCGCCCATCTATTTGAGGTTCCTATATGCTGTACATAGACGGATGTCATTATTGCCCTCTCTGTGCTGTGGAACATCATCAACGTTATTCACTTACACAAAAGGCTTTGTTATAGATCCCCGTGTTTTTCTGAAACTTGAAACTTAGTGTTTCGGTACTTCTGCAGCCAGATCATATAGATCAAGCTTAATTCAAGTGGTTCATCATCACCCTGACCCTAATCCCCTGCACAGACAAGATATATTTTCTCAGTAAAACACAGCAGCTGCTTTTCTATTTATTTGTTCTGCATTGTTATCTCAACGTGCATTTTGTTTCATCACACAGCAAAAGAAAACATCAGGACATTTTATAAGATAACTAAATAATCCATACATATTTTCTGAGACAAAACAGAACTGGAAACCTCAGAAAATGTCAATTTCTGAGTAACGGGACAAGCTACAGCTTCCCTCTCCAAACAGACAGATCTGCTAACCCAAAAAAGTTAGTCAGCTGTTCAGAGGGGAAAACAAAAACTGAACAGCCACACTCTTCATTTCACTGGTATCCTCCTTTAAATATTGGAATAAAATAAAGAGAATGATTTTATTACTCAAGAAAGAAATTCCCAATTTATCAATCTTATCCCTTTAGACTTAAAGCGTACTCCCTGTATTTTACCATTTAACCAGGAGCTGTGAGCACAGCAGAAATCACCTCCTGCCAGAAGACCAGGAATTCAAAGCAAAACTCCCATGGTTACTAGAATGGCCTGAAAACACAAGCTGAGCATCAGACAGAGCTCACTACTTTCTGGAGTTCCAGAAGAACAGCAGCTTAAACGAAAAACAAAAACCAGCACCCGTTTTTCTTTAAATGGCTCCTTTGGAAACAGCTCATTGTTCCACCCTTACCAGAGTGGCAGATCCATTCTGCAACTGTTCTTATCACAGTCCCAAGCAGCCTCCAGGATCCTCCTACCCTGAAAGTTAAATATCAAAATAAAGCCATAAGAATTCTGTAATAATCTTATTACTCATTTCTCCTGTCATCGGAGTTGCAGTTCCTGTTTTTCTTTAAATTAGTACATTATATTCCCAAGGTGCAATACTTGCAGACTTGGTCAAACACAGTGGAGGTCATGTGTGGGCATCCCAAGGCAGAGATTCCTCTCAAAAAATTTAACCCTCTCAAATACCATATTAAGCCAGTAGGTCTGCAACTGCTTTCTGACTACTAGCCAACTGGGTAAGTTACGGTTTATAATTCACAGCAGATGAACGATGCTGAAGGAAACTTATTTTAACAAAATGTAATTTCATCTGTGGCAATGGAAGGCTAAAGGACATTAACACAGTCTTTCTCCATGCTTGATTTTGATCTCAGAAGTAGAGTACAAACTTTAACAGCCTAGAAGAGCCCAAGAATATTCATCCAGGGTATTTTTAAGAGATGGTAAAACTATGAAGACCTAGGCAATTGATAGCTAAATCAAGGACATTGTAAAGAACTTTGACACATGGAGGGAAGCACAAAACGTTTACCTCAAAGGAGCAGAACAAGAGGGAACATAAAGAAAGGAGCAAATACATGGTTCAACTAAGCAAATTGGGAACTTCTAGTCATCTTTTCCCATAATAAAAAGAGAAGAGAAAAAATAAATTTAAACACAAGGGTAGAAAGCCCTGAATGATAAAAGGAAGTGGCAATGAAAATTACTATTAATCATAATGTAATAATTAAATTTAATGTGTGTGTGTATATATATATATATATCTACAGATTAAATATATATGTAAAGTATATATTTAAGATAATTAAATTATTAATTTATCTTGTCATAAAATGTGTTAATGAAGTCTCCTGGTGACCCAACATTTCAAAGTCCTGCAAGGAGAAAGATGGAGTCACCAAAAGGGAAACTGAACATCCCGAGAGAGAGCATACTAGAAACTTAATGACGTGAAATAACACAAAGCAAAGGCCATTCACTCAGGGAATCACTAAGAAATCCTGCTATCAGTGTTGGGCTGTGATGGAAGTGTTTGGAAATAACGGGAGAAAAAGACCTGGCTCCATCAGCAGGGCACTGGCCAACTTTATCACACAGTTGCTCATGTGATAAATTCGGGGTGGGGGGGAAGGAAAGGGAGGCAAGTACCTTCTCTGGTTTCCCCTAGAGCTATGAAACTGTATACCATTGTACAAGGTAATGCCCAGACCTCATCTGAAATAGCCTAGCAGCATCTGGTCATTTACACTCCAGCGTGATTAATGGAACACACAGGAAATTGGAAGATAATCAAGGTAACAGATTTCTGTCTTGTATAAGGACACGCAGAGTTTGCCTTGCAGCAAAATGAAGGCTAGGAGAAGCAGCAAAAACTTTAAAGCATAACGTTGGCACAAGAAATAAGTGCATGTAAAGCAGTCATTACTACATTTAGGCTAAAAATTAGAAGAATATACCTAACTATAAGAGGAATTTGGTGCAAGAACAGCCTTCCAACAGGAGTAAAGAATCACCTAACAATAAACTAATTGAGCTTCATCTTAAAAGTTAAGAATTGAATACTACGATGGGGTTAAGCAACTGAATGAAAACTGAATGGGAGACTATTTCCAATCTTTTAGCCCTCTAACATGATTTTTTTTAAACACTGTCCACAATTTGACTATGAAATTCACTGAGAATTAACAAGACTCTAAACAATAATCTCAGGACAAGAATCCAACAGGGTTATAAAACTGCATGATTAATGAATAACAAGAAAATCCAGAGTACAAATATGAAGTTTAAAAAATAGCAAAGATTTTGGATATTAGGTTTCAAATTATAAAATGACTTTCATCTCATAGAATTTGGACAAAGCCTTGGAAACAGATTATCCAATCTGCCTTCTGCCAGATTGCCTGGACTTTACTTACTTCCCTGAAGAATCTGATATCAAGGACAACTGACAGCAGAAGGACCACCTCCTTCCCTTTCCATTCATATTCCATATCCTACTGACAACCTCTGCAACACAGCATAAATTCTCTCATAATCTGACATGCCACATGGTATGTTTCATTGCCACTATACAGTGAAAAACATTCCCAATAAACAAAAAGTAAAATTTATTAACTGAGTCACAGGTCAAGATAGGGCATATTGTTGGCAGTAATCACACAAAAGTCTTACTTTTGAGTTTAATGCAAGAATATATTAGTAGGAAAACAACAACACTTTTTTATAATTAAACATCTGATTGATTTGAATCAGAATTGATTTTTATTTTGTGTCTGCTGCCTCCTAATCCTAACTGCATCATGACCAGTGATGTTAAACATTACAATACTTCGTCTAAGAAAACAACTCTAATAAACTTTTAAAAATACTGTTAATTTTTATCTCACAGTACCATTTTGCATTCTTTGACAAAGATGCCGACTTTGGTGAAAATAAATTACCAGCTGAAAACAACCAACCAGTTAAGATTTAATTTTTTCTTCTGAACTCTTTCCACTCCCCAGTTCCCTCCCCCAAAAGCGAGAGCTGTGTCCTTGGTTTGCAAGGACAATTGCTGTCAATATAGCAAGAAATTTATTTCTCTTGGGAAGCAGGGTATACCAAGGTAGCAAAAATGGCCAAGCCATGTCCTACACTACCCCCCCCCCCCACCCCATCTTCTGCTGCTGTTACCAGTGGCAAAAGGTGCTGATGAATGATGACGACACAGTCTGCAGGCATGAGCAAAAGCTGTTCCATTTACCTCCTGCAGCTTGAGAGGTTCCCTCAGGGTTCAACTTCTGCACAAGCTACTGTGTATGATTACTATTATTAACCAACTCAGACACTAGAGTATTATCCTGATCGTGAATAACATTTTCCGCAAACAAGTAGCTATTCTTTCCAGTCCTAAGTGAAGATAAAGCATCAGCAGAAACTTTCTGGTAGCCCTTGCTGAACCACAGACGAGGGCTTGCAACACACAGCTCTGCAGCTAGCATGGAGGCACTGCAACCAAACAACTACTATCAGTCTCAGCAAATTTCAGCTCCTCTGTTGAGAGGACTAGAAAAGACCGAGATGAGACTCATCAGAACGGGTCACATTAAAGTTATCTCCTGCAGGCTCCCTATGAAATATCACAGAATATACATTTTGGACCACTCTTGGACCTGCAGCCCAGATTCAACCAGCTCTGTATCCATTAGTTTTAAGTGACTTTTAAGATACTGTTTAACTAAAGAGGGTTCACTGATAGAAGTAGTCAGAAAGCAGAATACCATTGATTTTCTACTAGCCTGTAAAACAAATTAATGACTCTGGTCCAATTCCCAACAGAGAGGCACAGGTTACAAAAACTACTGTCTCAGCAGAAATACTGGAACAGTTGTGGAAACTGAACTCTCTTGTTATTAGCAACAGAGATCCCACTGGGGCAAGGAAGATGATGTTGATGAGGCCTACAGGACAACCTGAACTATTGCTTTGTCCACACTGATTTTGCTCTTGGCATAGACTTCTGCTTTCAAAACATATTCTGTATACTTGTTAAAAGATGCTTTGCTTTCAAGCAGCTACAAGTAACCATATTCATTGCAAATGAAATGCAATAAAAACAAGATTTTGTGCTCATATTGTGCTTTATCAGAAGACAAAGTGCTTGAGAGTAAAGTTCATTCATCAAGGAAAGCAGGTAAGCGTTGCTGCACGTTATCTGAAGTGATAAAAGGTTCACACCCACACAGACAAAAGGGCAGCCAGGCACCGCTGCAAACCCCAATAATGCAGGTCAAGAAGGGCACACCCTGCCCATACCCCTCCCACGGGGCTGTCACAGAGGACACCTATCAACCCTGCTCTTCGGGGCTCCCCTCAGGATGAGCCAGTGGAGGAGGCTCTCCAAAGCACCTTTTGGACTGAGGGGAATTACCAGCTCTGAGAATAAGAAATTTATTATGGGATGCAAGGAATAACATTTTCAGGTTGCACAAGATTTATTATGGGATGTTGAAGGGAAGAATCAAAGGCAGGGAAAGGGACCAATCCTTTTGCAAATGCATGCAATATGTTTAAATTATTTACCAAACTTTTAGACCATTGTGAGAGAAGCTCCTGGGATAACTAGGGTAATGGGATTGAGAACAATATATAGCAAGTTAAGGTTGAGGTATAGATGCTTGCACTGCTATTCAGAGAGACACTGACAGTTTGGAGAAACAGTCAGAGAAGAATCTCAGGAAGTTCAATGAAGAGAAATAACAACTCCTGCACCTGGGGAGGAATAACCCCATGCACCAATACAGGCTGGGGTTTGACCTGCTGGAAAGCAGCTCTGCAGAGAAGGACCTGGTAGATAGTAGGTTGACCATGGGCCAGCAACGTGCCCTTGTGGCCAAGAAGGCCAATGGGATCCTGGGGTGCATTAGGAAGAGTGTTGCCAGCAGGTCGAGGGAGGTGATCCTGCCCCTCTCCTCAGCCCTGGGGAGGCCACATCTGGAGTACTGTGTCCAGTTCTGGGCTCCCCAGTACAAGAGAGACATGGCGCTACTGGAGAGAGTCCAGCGGAGGGCTACAAAGATGATGAGGGGACTGGAGCATCTCTCCTCTGAAGAAAGGCCGAGAGAGCTGGGCCTGTTGAGCCTGGAGAAGAGAAGACTGAGAGGGGATCTCATCAACGTGTACAAGTATCTGAAGGGGGGGGAGGAGGGAGGGTGACGAGGGGATGAGGCCAGTCTCTTCTCCGTGGTGCCCAGTGACAGGACAAGAGGCAACGGGCACAAACTGAACCACAGGCAGTTCCATCTGAACAGGAGGAAAAACTTCTTGACTGTGAGGGTGACAGAGCACTGGAACAGGTTGCCCAGAGAGGTAGTGGAGTCTCCTTCCCTAGAGATATTCAAAACCCATCCGGATGTGATCCTGGGAAATATGCTCTAGAGGGCCCTGCATGAGCAGGGAGGTTGGACTAGATGATCTCCAGAGGTCCCTTC